GGCTGCTGCTCCGGGTCTCAGCGTGGCATTAAATGACCACCTGCTTCCGTAATGAGGTGGTGGCAGCCCTGTGTGGTTTAAAATGTTTTCAGCCTTACTGTTGCCAGGAAAAAGGGACTTCAGCGGGGCTGAGCTGGGTGCTGGCAGCCCCCACCCAAAGCTCACCTCCGTGCGCTGGGACCCCGCGGTCACCAGATGCTCCGTGAATGTGCCAAAAGTTTACACTCCCCTAGGAAAAACCTCCTTGCGGGGGGAGCAGCAGTGGGGGAGCAGCGGGTTTGCCTGGCTTTCCTCAGGAAAATTTGGTTTTTTTTTTCTCTCATTTTTTATTGGTTGTAAAGTAACGGAAAAACCCTTAAAAAATGGGAGGATTTTTAGTAAGAAATTAAAAAAAAAAATCTGAGCAAATCAGCATGCAAATGTATTTTGTGTTGAAACAAAGTGTGGAAGTGTGATGGTGAAGGAGGAGACAGTTTTCCATTGAGAAGAAGCAGCCTCAGCAGGCTCTGGGTGTGGGACACGTGTCCTTGTGCACAAGGGTGCTGGCCCTGGGACGTGCCCAGCCCTGGGCAGAGCTCTCCAACCCCAAACCCCTGTTGGGGATGTCCCTGGGCATTTCTAGGTGCTCAGAGGAAGGAAGCAGAGCAGTGCATGAGGAGCAAAGGGTGGCACATGCAGCAGCGTCCTGCTATCCCCCGCTGCTGCTGGGGTTTTGCCCGCAGAGATGCGAAGTGAGGGACCCAGGGAGTGAGGGTAAAGAAGTCAGGCTGATTTTCCTCCAGAAGACAAAGCAGAGCAAGGGGAGAGCGAGGCAGCTCCTGGCTCCTGGCTGTGCAAATCCTCGCTGACGTGGGGAAGGATTCTGCCTTGCTGCTGCTTCCCGTGGGATCAGCAGCAGCAGCCAGAGCCACGCCGCAGGGGGAGCAAATAAATAAAATAAAATAAATAAAGGGGGAGCGTTGCTGCTTCCAGCTCGGTCCCACCGCTGCCCCGGCAGCTCGGGGCTTTGGGGGCCCAGTCCTTGAGCTGAGTTATGCACTCAGGGCTGTGCACATCACAGGCTGCCTGCGCTGAAGGCGGAAGGGTAATTTTGCTTTATGAGCTATCGATTTTATTCTCCAGGTCCCTTTCCTCCAGACGGGTCGGGTTCCTACGGCGGTGTTTAAAATAATGCTCTGCTCTTCGTTGCCTTCTCTCTCTGTCATCTTGCCGCACTCCCTCAGGTGCTGTCCCTTTCGGGATGTTCCCGCATCCCAGAACGCCCCATCCGTTAACACCTTATCTTGCAGATTGGATAGTCTTGATCGATTTTGCTTTGTGCGGTTCTATATATTTCCTTGAAGGCCCGGAGGAAAGGATTTGATATATTTGCTAAGTAAGAACAGAGACAAATTAGTCCTTATTCTAGTGGGTATCGCTGTAGGGCTTCCCAAGAAATCATCTCAGTTACCTGTCAGGTCCCGTCCCCACAGCTCTGCTGTGGTTAACGCTCTTGGGAAAAACATTTCCCATCCCCTTGAAATCCTCCTAGACTTGGGTGCAGAATTAATATGCAATGCAAAGGAACCATACTAGTACATATGGCAACTTATGTATGTGCCGGAGTCTAAAATTATCCAGCTCTTCTTAAAATCCATGTGTCCTGCTCAGAAGAGATGCCATCCTTCCCAGAGCTCTGCCACCTGCAATCTGTTCTGCCTGCGTGTTTCGGGTTATGTAAGCGGAGCTTTAATTGCATCGTGGGCTCTCCCGCGCCCCTGCCGCCTCTTCCTCGGCTCCCGTCTCTGCGAAGGTCTGCTTTCCGAAGCTGCTTGTTTGCAAAGGAATCGGGCACTGGGCTGGCTTGACTTTATTTTTAGAGCCTTTCCTTTTATCTTTCCCGGCGGTGTCCCACTGGGAGCTGCTCCAAGACCGCTGCGAGCGGTGCGGCTGGCGGTTGCGCCGCCACTGCCGGGCTCGCCGCTGCTCCTGACCTCGGCACGCGCGGGGCACTGGCACGGCACAGCACAGGGCAGGCTGGCTGCGGGAGGCACGGCTGCCCCGTGCCCCTCGGGACACCTCTCATGTCCGGGGAGCAGCGGGATGCTCAGCCGGGATGCTCTGGCCACATGGTGGGTGCGCGCCCTCAGCTCCACGCGCCCCTCGCTTTTGTTTCGGCAGCTGCCGCTGCCAAGTGTTCTCCAGAGGAACCTTGTCACAGTTTGTTTGAACCAATTGAAGTGTAATTGGGAGTAAATGAAGGAAATGGGTCATTTGCAAAATAGGTGCTTGAGTTGAGGGAGAAAAATAACCCTGACTCATCCCTCCTGCTCCGGCTCCGCCAGGACGCTGGCAGGCAGCCACCCGCTGCGTCCCCGGGGAGGGAGCGCGGTGCAGCTCGCGGGGCAGGGGGCAGAGGAAGACCCCAAAGGACGTGTTTTTCCCAATATTCTGGGAATATTTGGAAAATATTCATTTGATGAGCCACTGCTGGGGGTTCTGCCTGCTCGGGGGAGTGAATCAGCTAGGATTTCTGCTTGTTGCTCAGGCTCCTCTCCCAAACTCCCCCACGTCGCATCCTCTGGCAAAGCAGAGTGAGCACCAGAAGATGCTGCGTGCGTCTCCTTCCAGAAACACTTCTGTTTTATTTGGAGGGATTTTGATTGTTTTGTTCTTGCTTTTACTGTTCTTTACACCAGCAGCTCTTAGCTCGTGACTAAAACCCTGGCATCTGGTGTTTCTGCCACTGACAAGACAGAGGCAAGGAGGAGAGCCAACCCCTGAGGAGTGCCAAAGGTGCCCCCCAAACCCTGGTGCCACAGCTGTGAGGGAAATGACACGGGCACAAGAAGCCCAGGGCATCGCTGTGCTGGTGAACCCCTCTGAAGGACCCTTCTGTCCCCCTTCAGGCCTGTCCCCCAGTCAGGGGCATGGGTGATTCTGTCCATCGCTTTGATGATTTTGTCCACTTTGTATTGAGCATCATCAGACGATGGCAGCCAGAACAGGTTAAGGTGCAGGAGCCACCACGTTACGTCTGTCTGCAGGACCTGACCTCATTGCCAACTGCAGCAACACAGCTATCGCAAGGAAAAAGCCACGGATTGATTTATAATGTGCCGATCCACCCTCCTCTGGACTTTTTTCCACTTATAATTTCATTGCTGTGTCAGGGGAGCACGAAGGAGTGCCCAGTGCATTGGAATAACTGCACCCGACCACGGGACCAGTGCATCCCTGGCATCCTGAACCCCTGGGGACAAAGCCCCCCTGTGCTTGCCAAAGGGGAACGACTGTGGGGCAGCAGTGGATAGGTTTCCTGTCAAAGACACGAGCAGCATTCAGAGGAAATCTGGGGTTGCCTTGAAGCACTTTGCTTTCAGAGCAAGGAGCTCTGGCTGGGCCATCCCCAGGGCTCTCCGGGGAGGTGAGCGCTCTGCCTGCCCCTGCAGCTTCAGCTTGCTTCTGGCACTGCAAGAAGCAGGAACCTCGCCGCGAGCCATCGCTGGCACCGGCTGCTTGGTGAATCAGGCTGGCCAAAGGTGACCTTGGCTTTATTGTATTAAACTGTCAAGGCTCGCGTCTCCGCGTGTTTGATTTGCGCTAGGGATGCGTCCTGGCAGGGAGAGCCTGCAGCTCCCTGAAAAGGTGTCGCTCCTGGCTGCTGTGTCTGTGCTGTGGGCTGGAGGGGGTCCCCTGGCTCCAGGCTTTGGGGAATTGGCAGTTCTGCAGTGTTGTGTGGGCTGAGGAGGCTTTGGGCACCTGCGTGCCCCTGGGAGGTGGCAGCTCTGCCCTGGGAGCTGGGCTGGACTCGAGCGGCTTCTCTGCATTGACAGGTCTTAAAGGTAGGGATGTGAAGCCCCTGGTGTGTGGGTGAGCAGGGGGAAGGCAAGATAACAAATCCGAAGGGAGCCCAAACTGTTATTCTCTGCGAGAAGGCAGCAGAGCAGCACCCAGATGTGGTGCATACGGCTGCTGGAGCTGGAGATGCAGCACTGAGCTGGCTCCGGAGAGCTGCTGGCCACTGTGCCACCACCTCCCGGCACGATGTTGGTGGGGCTGGGCACGTCAAGGTGGCTCTGTGGGCTCTCTCTGGCTTCGCCTGCAGGCAGCTAGCTGGGGTTTGTCATGCTCTTGCATGGGAAGAAGCAATTTCCTTGCCACGCACACCCACACGAGCCAGGAACACTACGTATGTATTGTACGGATACATATCTTTATCTATATATAGACATAAATATATAAAACTGCTCATTTTCCTGTCATGCTAACATTTATTTATTTATTAAAAACATCATCCATCAGGAGCTGCAACATCTGTTTGTGAAAAATAGCACATCCTTGGGCTGCAGCCAGGAAAATCATTTCATTACGAAATTGTGACTGTAAAGCAGCACCAAATCACAAACATACTGTACATTGAGATGCTTTTGTTTCCAAACTGCTCATTAGGAATGATACACGAGCCAAAATTATACCCTGTGTAAGGTGAATTAGGAGAAAATGAGCCCATCCGACCTTCTTAAGTGAGCCGCAGTTAGTGCTGTAATTATTATCTCTGGTTAATCCTGCACCCACTGCAAGGCTGCGCGCAAGTTTCCCGTTCCATCCCAGAGGGTATGCGTCTTTACATTTCTTCCGTTCTTCGTGCCTAATTCATGCTGACAAGGAACATACTTGAGAGGATAGAAAAGGAGAAGCCCGGTTTAAAGATTATTTTATGTAATGCAGGAGGGAGAATTGCAGGAGCTGCGCTGCCCGCGGGCTGCTCACCAGCCCCGTGCTGGGGAAGGGCTTTGGGAGGATGAGGGCAGGGGATGTGATGGGGCACCCTGGGGCTCGTGGGAGCATCTCGGAGGTGTGCACACAGTGGGAGCTTTCATTTTCCTCCTGCTGGAGCTGGGGGGGCTGAGCTGGGCACATCCCACGAGGCTGTGGGTTCTGCTCGGTGTTACCCTGCAGCCCCTTGGGTTCCCATCTTCACTCTCTGATGTTTTTTTTTTGTTTTTTTTTCTTTGCAGGTCTGGCGGTCCATCAGATAATCACTATTACAGTGTCCCTCATCATGGTCATAGCTGCTCTGATAACAACTCTTGTCTTAAAAAACTGGTAAGGCCTCTTGGGGGTGAGCCCTGATGGGGTGGTGCTGCTGGATGGGGTGGTCAGGGGCGAGGGCTGCAACCTCGGGAGCCTTCCCTGCTGGGAGCACACAGCAGCCAAGATGGGCTGTGAAAGGCGTCCCAGGATAAAGTGGTTTTTACGTGGAAACTGCCCCAAAGGTCCCCAGCCACCCCCTGCCCACTCCCTGCGCCCGGGTGGCTTTGGGTGAACACCCCACCTCTTTCTCCAAGTCTGTGGTCTGATGTGAGCGGGTGGTGAGGATCAAGGGGCCTGAATTCACACAGGGACACTTGTGTGTCACTGCTCGGTGACTGACTAGTGCCAGATCCCTGCAGTGATGTCATCTGGTGACGTCAAAACCCTGCCTTCTATGGCAGCGGGTGGCGAGAGTTGCCCTGCTCCTCAGTGCGCCCGCATGGCTCCGCAGGCTGCGCTTCTGTTCTCCAGCCTCTCCTGTGGCTCCAGGGCTGAAATGCTTCATCCCAGCACCTTGGATGGTGCCAGATCTAAGTGTGCCCATCCCCTGGAGTGTTCGTGTGCTCCTCTAGCTTAATTTGCTCTCATTTATTCCCTTAACATGGCTGCGCGTCTGGTAAAATAGGTTAGCTTTTCGCTTCGGGCACTCGTGACTTTACCTATTTTCCCAGAGAAACTGGCCTACTTTGAGGTCAGTGTTGCTGGGTGTAATGCTGCTGCTGCACCTCTGGGACCACGAGGAGAGCTGCAGCGTGGTGCTGCTGGCCCGGGCAGCCCTGGGGTCTCTGCCCCTGGGTTTCTCCCACCACCACCCCCAGCCCCGCTGTGGTGTGCCCCCCACTGCCCACGGGAGCCTGGTGCTCCCTGCGGGCACCACAGAAATCAGCCCCTGAGCCTGGAAGTAAGTTAGAAAAACGGGTTGATTAAAAGCCTGTTTTTGCTTACTGGGAGGCAAAGCTGTTTGAAGTGCCGTGGAGCAAAAAGGGCTGGCACAGGTGCTGCCAGGCAGACCCAAGGAGGTCGTTGTGTGCCCAGGCACCGTGGCTTGGCCGGCCACAGCTCAGCGGGACAGCTCGAGCAGCCAAACGCTGAAGCCAAAAAGGAGAGGGGGAGAAGGGTGATTGGTGTGGGTGACGAGCAGAATTTGTTTGCAGTGAGTGAATTGGGCACCTGCTGGGGAATGCATGCAGGCAAGCTCAGCCCACAGTCGGCTGTGGCACCGGCAGAAAACCGGCACCCCACGAGCTCAGCTCTGGCATTTCCCGGCACGAGCCTGGTTCCCTCGTGCAGCTCGGGCTCCCCGTGTGTGAGAGGCAGAGCAGCGAGATCTGGGGAGCAGCACGCTGTGAGCTGGCAGGGCTGACCCAGATCAGTCACCGGCACCAAGTGGGACGCCGGCTGCGCCTCCCGTGGGGTGCTGCGTGCCCCCCTTGGGCAGGGCAGGTGGGTGCCGGCTGCGTGCAGGGTGTGTGCTTTGGGTGCTGCTGCTCCTGCTGCAAATGTGCCAGGAACCACTCGTGTGTGAGCGGTTCCACCCGCTCTCCCCCAGGCTTTTGGCCCCCAGTAGCCATTTGGCCACTAGCTGTGCCCAGGGTGCTCACCCAGCCCTGCTGAGGAAGAATAGCTCTGGGTGTCAGACACATTTCTGGAGTTATTTATGCCAATAATTAAAGCCTTTTGATGCCTCCCAAATAGAAGGGGTTTAACTTAATTGTTCTCATCTGCTTTTTTTTTTTTTTTCATTTTAAAATAAGGCTTTCATTTCCCGCAGATACAAACGTGTGACTCGCTAAGTAATTCTTCGGGTAGTTAAAAGCTTATATTTAAAATTTAAATTTGATCGTTAAAAAAAAAATAAATAAATAAAGCGGAATGACTGCTTGATTGCGGCTGATCTTTCCAAAGCGCCTGCATTGTAATCTAATATCGAATGATGTATAATTAATGGCCGATAAGGCGAGTTCTCCTTCCAAGCGTCAGCGCCGTGTTTTGTGTCGTGTTTTTTCTCTTCCTCTCCTCGCCGCCCCAGCTGCGCGCAGAGCGGGACCACGCGGCGCAACAGCCACCAACGCAAAATCAATCAGCAGGAGGAGAGCTGCCAGAACCTGACCGACTTCACCCCCGCCCGCGTGCCCAGCAGCCTGGACATATTCACAGCCTACAACGAAACGCTGCAGTGCTCCCACGAGTGTGTCAGGACGCCGGTGCCCGTCTACACGGAGGAGGCATTGCACTCACCCGGAGATTACAAAGCGACGTACAATGGAAACAGGTGAGGAGATGCCCGACGTGTTCCCGTGCACCTCCGGCACTGGGATCCCCGTGCCCGGGTGGGGAAGGCTGCCCCGGTCCTGCTCAGCTCTCCTGCTGTGCCCCATCCTTGCGGTGTCAGCTGCCCTTACCCTGAGCACCTCTCATCCAGCCCCGGCAGCATTTCCACCGCACGCTTCTCAGCTCCCTGCCTCCGCCTCCGGCAAGTAAATGTTCCTCAGATCCATCTCACGGAATTTGTGCTGTCCTCTAAGTGGCACCTAAAGAGCCGCTCGGCTGTGAATGAGCGGTGTGATTAATGAAGGAGCAGGCGGTGAGAACCGAGTGAACCATTTGTCTGGCACGAAATAATGATACGTTAACAAGGGGGCATAATGGGAGCTGACAGCAAGGTGCGAGACCGGCGAGCCGTGGCTCTGCGTGCCCCTCGCTGCAGGAGGGGGGACCGGGGGGACCCTTCCCTGGGGCTGGGCTCGTTCCACTACAGCAGTGCTTTTGGCTGCTCCGTGCAGTGCCCCCATCTCTGCTGGCAAAGCTGGAGGGAGCCGTGGGAGGCTTGTGAGGAGGAGATGAGCAACTTGATGAGGTGCTCGGGTCCTGCGTGCGCTGCGGCTGGGCTGCTGCCCGCAGCCGGGGTCCAGCTGCATGAGGGACACAAGCCTGGAAGGCAGCAACTTACCAGGCACCCTTCTAACCATCGTCTGCGTGCGTGTTGTCTCCTCTGATGCTGGAAGGCAGAGAACGTGCCTGATTTTCAAACCATTTCCTTGAACCTGTGTGTGTGTGAATGGATGGTGGGGGGCACGGTGCTCTGCTTCCCCACCTGTCTGGGGAGGGTTCGTTGCTTGTCTGCCTCAAGGCAATGCTTTCTGCGTGGTTTTATTGGCCTGGGCACGCTCCCTGCAGCCCCATGGAGGTGATGCACAGCCCTGCAAGTGGCACAGGCATCACGGCCACCTGGGGAAATGGGGCTGCCCCCAGAGGGACATGGCCTGGCTGCGCTACAAGGTGCTTGTTCTGTGGGGGAAACATGACTTTGCAGGCCACCCTTTTCTGCTTCTTTCTCTGCTTTGCACCACCCTGGTTTCCAAGGCCAATAAGCCCCCCCCGAAAGCATTGCTCCAGAGGTTTGTTCTTGCTCTGAAAAGCTGATTTGTGCAGCAGGCCTCTGCGGCTTGCTCGTGTTATGCACCGGCACGCGCAAGCCCATTTTTCTGCTCGCTGCAGACCCTCGTCTTCTGATCGGCATCTTATTCCTGTGGCCTTTGTGTCTGAGAAATGGTTTGAAATCTCCTGCTGACTGGCCGAAGCCTGTTTTACTTCCCGGGGCAGGGCAGACGCCGTGTGGCTGTTTCCTGGTAGGTACCACCCCGAGCAGCCCCCGCGCGGTGCCTTCGGTAGAAGTCGCTCTCAAAAATCAGAAGATTTTTTTTTTCTTTTGTGTTGTTTGCTTTGTGTGTTGTTTTTTTTTAGTTAGCTTGGGCTGTTTTCACCTCCTTGTTGTTCTGGTGAAGGTGGCACTTCACCGTGTGCCATGGGATGAGGTCGGGGGCAGCCGTGCCAGCTCGAGCCACGCGCTCGGGTACATTAAGTGGTCTGTCCCAAGTCCCCGCTGTAATGAACCACAGATTCCGTGGAAATGAAATTTCCAGTCTTCCCTGGCTGGAGCTTATTCAGAATAGCCTGTTTAACATTACACTCGGCTACTGAACACAGAGATAATTAGATTAGAATGAAAAGGAATAAAAAGTTAATGGTCTCTGCTGTGCTCGTGGCTGTGTCTGGGCAGCCCAGGTGAGGCGCGCACCTGGCTGGGCAGGAGGCAGGGGCAGGGCACGGAGGGAGCCTTCCTGGGGGGAGCCCAGAGAGCTTTTCCTCATCAGTTAGGACAGGCTCTTACTCCCCATCGATCAGTGTTCTATCATTATTTCTCTGGTTTTGTGTGGCCACTGTCTGGAGGAGACAAAGTGCGAAGGTACCTGGCCAGAGAGCTTGTGCTGGTGAGCAAGGATCGGCTGCAGGACACTTTGGGGACAGTTTCTGCACTGTCTTCAACAACACGTGCAGGCACAAAAAAAAAAAGCAAACAGCAGTAGCCTACTATGCCTTTACACCCTAAGCTTTGTAGATTGTGAAGTCTGTCCCTTGCTTTATAAAAAGCAAAACGAAACCCAACCCAATCACACTTAAATGTCAGCAGCAGCTCAGGTGCCTGAAGGAGTGCAACTCGCCCACTGTAGGAAACGGGCAATCCCCAGCACTGGTTTTCAAGGTCCTGTGTAATTCTGTGCCAAAGAACGAGTCCTCGATCATTTCAATAGATTTCTTTAAATAGTCTAAAGCCAGCCCATTATTAAATCCTTGAAATTCTCATTGACCTGTTTTCATGGAATCCATGAAACACGTATTGACGCGCTCTGGAAAAATCTATCCAAATTTTACCTGGATCATTAGCTCTGTAATAGTGCTCCAATTACTTATAAAGTTCTGTTTGGTTTCAGTAATAATTAACAAAATGAGATTAGTCCAAAAACCCTTCTCTGTGTGCGCACACCCCTGTGCAGGTGTGTATGCACCAGGACAGCTCCATGTCCCACCTCCTGCCCGGGATGTGTCGTAGACCAAAATTTCTTTTTCCCAAGTCACTGTGCAAGGTAAAACCTGAGAGCAGATGGCGTAGCTGATGGTGGTGAGGAAGCTCGGCGTGTAGGTTGTCCCCTGTCGTGGTCTCGCTGTGCTGACACCAGGCAGGCACTGCCACGGGCAGGGAGAGCTGGGGACGCCTTAACAGCTCTCGTTCCTGGAGCAGAGGGTGCTGGAAAAGGTGCGTGGCAGCTCTCAGCTGCTTCAGGCTGCATCTCCTCTGGAGGTGGGAACATTTTCCTGGCTGGCTTACAAAGCAAGCCAGCAAAGCTGCCTGCAGGTGACTGACAGACGCACCTCAGCAGAGGTGGAAGGCTGCAGGTTGGTCCCAGCTTTGTTTCCCACCCATTCCTTGCCGTGTTTGCAGGGGAAGGATGGCCACGAGGCAGCCCCTGAGCAGGGCACCGTGCAGTCCATGGGGTTTAGAAGCCACACCAGCCTTGGTGCTGGAAACGTCTTCCCTTGGAAAGGCTCGGAGTACTTTACAAGTATTAATTGATGGCACTTCACAGCTCTTAGCTCTCTAATAAGCAAATTAGTACTACCAAACGTGTAGACTCAGAGCTCGAGGCACAAGACAGATTACGTGGCCAGGGAAAAGGATGGCAGGATGGCAGGAGCTGAGAGAACATGCGGAAATTTTAAATAGATGAGCACTGGGAGGCTGGTTTGAGTTTAACAGGGACTTTACAGGTACACACCTCTTGGTCTCTGCAGGGTCAGGGGTGGCACCGTGCAATGGGCTCCAGTTCGGAGCAGGTAGCACGGGGATTTTGTAAGGAAACCCGGTGACACTCATCTGGTTACATCGCAAGCAGATGTTGATTTTATTTCCTGAGGTCAAGTTCATCCCCTGCCAGTATGAGATGTTCTCAGGGCTTACGTGACACCGGAGTGGTCCCTGCCACGGCGGTGGCCCTCTGAAGAGCAGAGTTCCCAGCACACTGAACAGCTGCTGGAGTTTTCCAGCAGATTTCATCTGCCTGCCATCAACCCCCTCCGGAGCACTCTCGTAGATGAGTGTCACACCTATGCAGAAGGCAGCACGCCAACTGCTCCTGCACTTAAAGCAGGGGGCTTTGCCCGTTCCCAGCAGCCTGGCAAACAGATGCTGCAGTGGCGTGGCCCAAGGCTGTTTTCTGAGAACAGCGAAGTGGTCAGTTAAAGCATTTGTGCCAGCCCGATGCCGTCCCTGCAGCCCTCGGGGCTGTGGACAGCCTGGGGTGGCTCCTGGCACTTGGGATCCAGGGCAAAGGTTTTGCAGACCCAAAGGAAAAAGGTGGCAGAGGCTGCTGAGGAGCTCAGCACTGGCCTTCGCCAGGGGGCACAGCTCAAGCCCCCTCCAGCCGTGGGGTCTGGGGACACACACAGGCTTGGGGCTTCGGCCAGGAGCCGCAGCAGCGGAGCTGCTTTGGTTGGATTTTGCTCTGGCCTGGGCTTTCTCAAATCAAGTTTGGTATTTCGCATTATTCTTGTCCTTAATCCCACTCTCTTTGACTGAAAAACCCCATGGAATGAGATTATACAAAAATCTGTAAGGTTGATCAAGCGCTGACCTACTTTGCACAAAGAGGCTATTTGGAATACAATATAAATTTTACATCCTGCAATGCGTGCATTAAATAGTATTCATCCAGCACCACGTACATGTTCAGCATCAGTATTAGAGAAGTGGTCCTGTGAGATTTTGAAATGTTACCGGTATTATAACATTGATCTGACCCTAGCTTTTTCAGAAAACAGTCCAAATTTACAGTATTGTATGGTAATTCTGAGCTTTGAACATGGCAAGCAGCTGCTGCGATGGCCCCATTCTGCCTAACAACAGCAAATGGTTTGTATTAACATTAACAGATAATGAGTCATCATAAAAAATCCAGGCTTGTCTTCTGAGAAATAACACCATTCCCAGCACAGCCCTGGTACAAGAGATTAAGGATTCTGTAAAATCTGCCTAGCTAATTAGTTCAGTGTTTGCATCGAGAGGGTGTACGCTGGGCATTTTGCTTAAAAATAGCGTTGAAGAAAAACCCTGGAACAGAAAATATATTGCATTTCTGGATGCCTATCGCCAGCTAGTCAGAGGTCGGGGTGCTGGTGAGGACCTGTATGTTGGGGGCACGCTGTGGGCAGCATTTCCAGCGTGCACAGGGCTGCAGGTAGAGCTCGCATGGAGCCATCACGTCGTGCTCAGCTGTAACACAGCCCAGCGATATACCTGGAGCCACATCTACATAAAGCAAATGGCCACACTAATGATGGGGAGTAATTGTCCTCGCATAAAGGTTTAAAGATTACGTAGGGAGAGATCTGTCAGAAGATGGCAAATAAATAGCTTAAGAGGAACTTCAATAGGCTTTCTGGTTTTGATGCTTAACCAATTCTCTATTGATTTCTTTAGGGCATTTAACTTTAGAAAATCTTGTTAGTGCTCATCATCGCCTTCTCATCTGCCAGAGCACTCAATGCTCTTAGCCCGAGTATGAAAAGCTCCAGAATTTGAGAATTATCAGCAATAAATTACGCTTTGGAAAACGCACTGGGGAGATAAAAGTGTGCAGTAAGGCACACCTAAGCCTCTTAGTCACTCCCACTGTTCACCAGCAGCTTCCTCCGTGCCCCCTGCGTGTAGGAAGCTGCATCCTAATTTGCAGGCTGCCCTTGGAAATGATGAGAGGAGGGCAGTGCCGAGCTGGGGCTGCCCCAGGGTGGCAGGAGGAGCAGGCTGGTCCCAAAGGATTGTCAGGAACTGGGGGGGATTTGGGGGGCCAGGGACTGTCACCTGCCAGGGGACACCTGGGCCATTGCGTGAGGGTGGACGCTGCTGGGTGGGGGGGCTTGTGGTTGATAGCAGTGGTTTGGGTGCAGGTAAAAATGGATAAAAAAGCGTAAAAGAACTGATGCAAGTTGGGATGCATTTCCCTGTTCTGACTCACTCTTTATTTTTCTTTTCATCCTTAACAGGATTCCATTGGTGAACCTGTAAAAAAAAAAAAAATTAAAAAATAATGGGTTACCTGTACCTACCATTTCTGTTTACCAGTAGGAGACTCAAAGAGCAGCGTTCTATGGGCCAAATATATTTTTATAAAAATGAACACGCCTATAGGTAACTGCATTTTTCAAAGAGCGCATTTTTTTGGAGAAGAGTAAAAAATGTGCGAGCGAAGAATCCCGTGAAGGAAGAGGAAACCGAGAAAAACTGAAAGGAGCAGGACTGAGCATCTGGAGCTTGGGATACGGACTACGATTCTGAACCTGTGCCAATAATACCATTATGTGCCATGTACTGATGCAAAAGACTTCGCGAGAAGCAGAAGCTAAGTCAGTAACACAGAAATGCTACAGAGGACAGGGGTGGGGCGTCTCTTCTGATGGGGTCGTTAATTCTGGTCCATATACATACATACATATGATATATACACAGAGGAAATATATATACACACACAAACACTTTTTGTACTGTAGCAATTTTTGAAGATCTTAAATACTCATTTTTAAAGAAAATGTCATGGGCTAAAAGTCTGATTTCTTTAACACGCATACTATGACCTAGTTAAACCGATGTTTTCTACTTTGGCAGCTTGCCTTTCCAACCTATCCGTGTATATATAGATAGACATATACATATATATATGTGTGTGTGTATGTATAAACATATATATGTATGTATACATATATATAGAGTTTTTCCTTTTTGTTTCGGGAACACATTTCCAGCAGCGGGCGGGTGACGGGCCGTGGTGGCGGTGGGGGCCGGGGCTGGCTGCGAGCACTGGGGGCAGCTCGTGCTGCGTGTCCCCCCCCCCGGGGACCACCCGAGGGGCTCGGCTGTCCCGTGCCGTCGTGCTGTGCTCCGTCTAATCTGCCACCTCTGCTGGCACATGTCCCCAGGAGACGGATTTCAGGGGTCAGAGGGGTCATTTGTCTCCTGGAGAATGACTTCTGAATTGAAGGTGACATAAAGCTGTGCCCCCTTGTTGGGAGGGAGATGGGAGGGAGGCCGGTGAGGCTGGGGAGCCCGGCCCCTGCTCGCGGGGTCCGCAGGGGCAGGAGGTCACTGAGAGCATCCAAAAGGAGTTGCACATTTTGTGCAGGGGGCAAGAGCGAGCATCCCCAGTGAGGTTCCCAGGGGAAGACGATGCAAGGGCGACGTTCTGCCAGGGGAGTTGGGTTTTGGGGCTCAGATTCAGGCTGCTGCGCTAGAAACCCGTCCCTGCTGGGGTGCTCACGCCGTGCACCAGCCCTGCTGCTTGGGTCTGTGCAGGTGAGCTGCTTGTGGCCGGCCCTGGGATGGTTTCCCCTTGTGCTGCTTCGGAGTTACGTGAGTGGAAAGGACAGAAGAGTTCAGACCAAAGTCCTCCGGTTCTTTTTGTAAACCTCCCTTCCTAAATATTAACGGTTTTTTAGAATTATCCAGATAACGCATCCCTCCTCATCCGCTAATTACCCAGCTCCATTTCCTTATTGTAAGTGTGCAGTTCAAAAAAAAAAAAAAAAAAAAAAAGGAAGTAGGAACTTCTGGTATTGCGCATAGCCACACGTGCAGTCTCTTGTTTCTGTATCGTTTTCTGTCCTTTTCTGATGGGGTTATACAGTCCGGATTGTTTTCCCCTCGTTTTTGGAAGCTGTCCCGGGAAGAAGTCTTCCTTGCCAGACATGTGGGTTTGAAGCAAACATCTCTGAAGGTGCTGGCAGTGTTCCCTGTGGCTTTGATGAACCTGGAGGAGCATCCTGCGCCCGCCCTGCCTCGACTTCTGGTGGCTGTGTGGGGCAGGAGCAGCCAGACACCAGGCGTGGGGTTTCCACCCTGCCTGGATGGACCTGGTGCTGTGCCCAAGCCCGTTCCTTCTGCGGCAGTGGTGGGCGAGGTGGGCACGGGTGGCCACGGAGACCTCAGCCCCACCGGGGGACCCCAGCACCACGAAGTGGGGCAGCCCCTCGGGGGGCAGCGAGGTTTCGGCATCATTCCTTCCCCACAGCCTGCATTGGGGCTTTCGTGTTTTACTGCTGTAAACGGTGCAGCCTGTGCAAATTCTCCCTGCTATCACAGTGCTTGAATTTCCCTTCTTTGTCTCACTTCTCCGGCATCAGCCCACTCCAGCTCTGCGGTTGCGTGTTGTGCTTTCCCCATTGATCTTTCTATTTCTTTGTCCCTGCTGGCTGCACCGCGTAGTTCTTGTGGGTATTCCAGTGTAATCTTGGTAGCGATTTGACACCATAAAATCTATCTCGGCTCCCTCGTTCCCGGCCGTTCCGAAGCAGTGGGATGTGTTTCTGCGTTTGGAGAAGCCGCCGGCTGAAGCAGCTCGGCCAGGCGGAGCCGCGGGGTGGCAGGGACGGGCAGCGGGGCCCCCCCTGAGCTGGTCCCCACCATGGGGGAGCCCCGGGGCGGGGGGGGACGCGTGTGTCTGTGTGTCTGTGCGCGTGTCTGTGTGTCAGGGAGAGAGAGAAGGCAAATAACTCCAACCTCAGATGGCTCGGGCAGGTTTCCGACAGCAGGACTTGCGTGAGCTTTCCGCACAGTTGCAGAAGGACACGTTCTGGCCACCCAGAGACTGCTCGGCGGTGAACCAGGAGACAAAAGTAGATGCACAATCTTCCCTTATTTATAAGGACCAACAGCACTTGCACTTTATCAGAGAAATCCTCACATCCCTATGCATGCCAAGCACACCAATAAAAGGAACAACTGCCAGTAAGGAAGGAAGGAAGGAAGGAAAGAAGGAAGGACCAGAGCTGCAGATGTGGAGATTTACAAGGCAGGACTCTAGCATCCCGATGTTTTTTTGTAGTAACTAGAAATGAACCGTGCTTATTTCATCCCCTGCTATTGATGAAAGCCAAAAAAAAAATCCAATCCCGAAATGAAAACACCAAGCTGTATTTCCGTGGAATGGACCTGTTTGAGCAGATCTTTTAGACGAGGGAAAAAGCAGGCATGGGACCTGCAGGCACGCTCACCCATCAGCTTTGCCACCTTACGGCCGCCTCGTCTCGCCTCGAGGTCTTTTGGCTGTTGCAGCACCAGGTTGTGGCGCCGAGCGGACTCCTTTCAGCACAAAACGCTTCGTCCTGAGCTGGTGGTAACTGCTCCAGGTTTCATTGACTTGCGCCGGCCCAAAGCTTACTCAGCAATAACGGGGGAGGATTTGCAGATGCTCGTGCCGCCGGGTACGTGGGGTTTGCTGGAACTGCTCGCCTGAGCAGCAGGGGCTGGCTCCTGTGCTAGGACGAGGAGGATTCGTGCGCATTTGGAGAATGAGGCCTTGAGAAAGGATTTTTCTGTTGTCATTCGGCAGCTGAGCCAGTTTTCCAGCCAAGCTGCATTGCATCGGCAGCAGGAGATGTTCCACCCTCCAGTGCGGCGCCGTGCTCTGCATCCTCTGTGCCGGGGTTCTCTGAGTGCTGGGGTCAGTGCTGCTCCCCTACGATGTCCCCGGGGTCCCGGGGTGGTGGCACCGTGCTGGGCGCGTTGTGCTTCGCCCTCGTGGGTCGGATCGCGCTCGGTGCAGGCATTTGCTGGCCCAAGGTCTGGCAGCTTGGAAAAAGAGTTTGGGTACTTGCTCTGCCATAAGCTTCCAGCTAGCTTCTTTTCTTTTCGGTTCATTTTATGGGTTTCTTAGTCCCTTAGCAGTTATCGAGAAACCTATCACAGCTGCCGAAAGGCTGCAAAACCCCCCAGCCGTGCCGTGGTGTACTTGTGGTTTGCTGTGGCTCTGCCCCGTCAGGGGGAATGGGAAAAAGCCCCCTCCCCGCGTGCCCTCCAAAGGGCCAGGAACGCCTGCTGGCCTCTGCATGGGGCAGGGAGCCCCTGGCTGAGCCCCCCCCCGTGCCCTGGCAGCAGGCAGGCTGCGGGGACACCGCTGGTCCCATCAATTTGGAAGTGGGGACACCCCCGGCAGGCATTGGGGGGCATCAGGCCAGGGGCGAGGGTTGCAGCGAGCAGGAGAGGGGAGAACAAGCCCTGGTTGGCGCACGGCCCCGGGTAGCTGCCCATCTCTCCGGACCTGATCGTTTACCTTCATTCTGTCTTCCCAGCTAGAGAAATGGGCAACCTATCACGGATTGAATCGGAAAGCCGTTCGGAAGAAGCGCTCCTGCAGGGTTCTCGCGACTCGAATTTGTTTCCAGCGTAGGCAGAAATGTAGAGCAGTGACAGCAGAAACAGGCTTAACAATGAAAAAGAGCGTTGCAAAGGCGGATTTCAGGTTACCTCTTCTCCGTTGGCAGCTTGGTACAAAGGACGGTAATTCAGCTAAAATGGTAGTTAAATAGTAGATATTCTACACATATTATATATTTTGTAAAAAAAATAAAATAGAAGAAAAATATATATATAATAACTCAGCCCACCCATTTCAGGATGAATGTGGTTGGAATTTTCGTTCAACCAGCTATAAAATCTGTAAGTGATTTTTCAAAACCAGCAAGAAATCCCTCACCATTTCAGACGTCCGTGGGTCCGGTTCGGTCTCCAGATCTCATAACGCTTGTCACGCATTTTTAAGGATTATTCTCAGCATTTGTAGGTACATTTTTAACAGTGTCATGAGTGGAGATAATATTTACTTTGAGAAAAAGTATACGTTGCACAAAAAATGTACACTAAGGGCACAGATTCCTGACCCAGATTCTTCTATTTTAGGTTCGGAGGGGTTTATTTTTTTGTTTGATAGGACATGTACAGCGAAGTTTACAGTTTATTTTTATTTTGCCAAAAAAAAAAAAAAAGAAAAAACATTTTCTAACATGAGACAGCTTTTACTTTGTAACCGGTTTTACATCACCGAGTACTTCTTTCTTTTTTTTCTGGGAAAATTCTGCGAGGCGAGACACCGGCACGCACCCGTGTGCGGCGGCACGGCCCCGGGGACCCGTCCTGGCGCACACGGCCACGGCACGGCCGCTGCCCGGACAAACGCTGAGCCTGGGAAGCCTCCCGTGGTCCGGGCAGCCCGAGCCGACCCTCGTGGCACTGCTCCTCCGTTCGTGAGCCCGGGCAGGGCGCGGGGTTGGGGCACCGGCTGGCTGCGGTTCCACACGGGTGAACTATTTTACTCCGGAGTGTTTTTTTAATTTGTCTCTGTACTTCGAAGCTGTGTATTTGGAAGCACTGTAAATGCGACCCTATACCGATTTCCCTGTGTATATTTAGTACTCTGATGTTGCTATTAAAGCTGATATGAGAACAGCGCGGCGGGCTCGTGACTCGGTTCCTCCGCGCTCCCTGCGCCCTGGGGGGAACGAGGGTCTTTGGGGTCCGGGGCTCCCCCCATGGACAGCACAGACGGGGCTTGCAGTGGGGCTGCATCCTGCACAGGCACCGCTTCGTGCTGGTGTGCCCCTGCCTCATACCTGCTGTTCCCCACCCTGCTGCACAAGTGGCCTTTTTGGGGAGGCTGACAGCAGATTGCCCACCCCAGACCCATCCCCACGCTGTCGGTACGGCCGTGCCCAATGTTCTGGTGAGGCACCAGGAGCACCTCAGGGTCCCCAGCAGCTCAGCACCGGCCTGAGACCCCCTAGCAGAGGCAGTGCCACGCAGGGTCCTTGGGTTCATGGGGACACGCGTGTCCTGCAGAAGTGACCCTGCCGTGGGGAGCCGCTGGCACCCGTTGGACACTGGAGGTCCACAGAGCGGCTCTGGGAAAGGGATAAAGTGCTGGAAAGAGGGAAGCCATTTAACTTTAATAGGACAGTTAGCGAGTTAATTAAACATCACTAATGATGTTTTAAATAAACAGCTATGCAATAAGGTAAGCAGGCATTATGGAATAGCTTAACCTAGATACATGTTTTACATAAAGATGGATTTTTGCCGCCAGCAGATGCGTATTAAAGCGATATTTATTGTATGCAAATCCCGGCTGATAGGGACGGCGATAATTCACACTCGGGCTGTCGAGCTTGCAGGCTGGGCCAGCCCCGCGGCCGCGCAGCTGCGCTCTGATGGCACGACACAGACAGACAGACAGACAGACGGACAGGAGCCTGGCGGGACAGACGGCAGCGGGACGCGGTGCGCCTGCGGACGGGGAGCTGCACGGAGGGGCTCTTCGGGGCTCGCAGGCACCGGGACAGCTTTGGTGGCCCTGCTGCGCTCCTGCTGGCATCGCCCCTGCTCCCCAGGCGCCGAGGGACAGGAGGACGGCACCTTCCAGCGCCATCTGACCTAGAAAGGGGCAGGAGCCTCGGATCAGCCTGGGTCTTTGGAGCGGGGATAAAGCGAGGAGGCAGAGGGACGGCTCGGCACAGCTGAGTGCTGGCTGCAGTTCCAGGCGGTGGCAAAGCCCTTCCCGCAGTGCTGCGGAGCTTCCTGGCTTTTGCGTCAAACCGAGCAGCCTAATGGCATGCGGCAGCGAGGGCCAGGGATGCTTCTGTCCCCAGCCTGTCGAAATTCTTCCCAAAAGCTCTCTTCTATGGGAAAATATATAGGAAAATAGGGAGGGACAAAGCGAGATGCTCTTCATTTGAGGGCCAAATTGCCATCTTAAATCACCGTGACGATGTGTACAAGCTAACAGAATGCGAATGGCCCTGATGCTGCATAGATCAGGCAGAGCGCTCGGTTCGTTTCCAGATACAAGTGGGATTTCAGGGAATGAAATACAGTGTCGGGATCTTGCTCCTTTCCCTGCTATTCATCACAGCCGGAAAAGTACTCACCAGCTTGAATTGTTGCAAAAGCCTCGCTGCTGTGAGAGAGAACAAAGGAGAAATATTGTGCTGAGCTGTGCAGCCGGAGAGCTGGGAGCTGCTGGAGCCCAAGGAGGAGCTGAAAGGCTGGAGCAGCCGCTGCCACACGTCCGTGTGTCAGCTCGCACAGGCTGCAGCCTCCGATGGCCATGGGCAGCCCATACGGTCACAGGAGCGAGCGGTCGGCACGGCGCTGGGCTGTTATTGGGGACTTTTTATGCTTTGTGCTCACACCCCATGAAGGAGCAGTGCTGGGGGGCTCAGCTTGCTGCATGGCACCCATCCTGCTGCCGTGCTGAGCTCCGGGGCTGGGGCCCGCCGGGTGCTGCCCCCTCCGGAGCGGCGCCCACCGCCGTGGGCTGACTCAGCCTGGCAGCAGGGTGAGACTGCAGAATGAGACCGAAAACAAAACACGAGCGCGCTGATGTCGCAGCGCACAGTTCTGTTAAAAAGTAGGACTAAGCATTATCCGAGTTTAATTATTATAATTATACCGGGGCGAAGTAATTACTGGAGATATTTTAAGCATCAATCAACATGCTATTTTGAAAAATGGATCCCTGATTTATCCAGGGCTAGGTAGTAACCATCAACATGCAACAATGCTGCCTTCAGAACGAGGAGCCGACCGAGCAACTCTTCCAAATCTGGTTGCAGTTTCCTAGTAGCAAAGAGAGGTTTATTTATTTATTTATTTGTTTATTTATTTTGGCAGCAGGGAGGATAGGGAGAAGGGGGGAAAGTGGAGAGGGCTCCTCTGTCCCCGTGCCCTGCAAGACGTGCGGCAGAGCCGGGCTGCTGGCTCCAGGCTGGGCTGCCAGAGGAGCATCAGCCTGGGGAAGAGGAGCTGTGAGCGGCGGCGGTGACCCCACTGCGGTGCGCTCGCGGTGGCTCTGAGGGAGATTGGCTGGGGCTGGGTGATTTAGCAAGGCTGAAATCATTTAAGCTTGTTATTGTGGTTTCTATGGCTCTCTGGCTGGATGTAACAAATTGTCTGCATCATTTTCCAGATGGATCATTCTTAAATCATCCAGGACAGGCTTCAGGGCTCAGCACTGAAGCAGTAGAAGGCACTTCAGTTCAATAAATGCTGGAAATGTGCTATATTGAGTGCTATTTCTTATTAAAAGTTTAAGTACATCATGCGAGCTGATGGGTCTCACAGCCAAGATCTCCATGTTTCACACCGCTTTTAAGTGCCATTAGCTCCCTGTGGGCACGGCATCGCTGGGGATCAGGGACACTGCCTGGAGCAGAGGGGATGGGGAGAGGGGTGGGATGTGCATGGGTGTCCCTGGGTGTCCCTGGGTGTCCATGGGCAAGCAACAGCTACAGCATGGGCTGGCGAGCCCACACAAGGCTTAGCCAAAATCCATCCCCAGCCCTTTTAGGGGACAAGGGGCTCGTGTGCATGGTGCCCGGGTCTCTGTGGCTCTGGGTCTTGCATTCGGAGACATCCGGGCATGCCCAAAACATAACGAGCGTGGGGAGAGTGTTTTATTACTGCGAGGCAATTTGTGGTAATAAGCGGTTTGGAGCAGCAAAGCCTCTCAGCAGAGAGCTGAATTATGGCAGAAATGCATGGAAAAGGAAGAGCCCGAAGGCGTAGCAGTGGTGAAGGGCACAGAAGGCGCCAGCAGCCACGGACTTTGGGACGGGAAGGTCGATGAGGGGTCCCTCCAAAAACCCAGCTGCTCACCCAGAGGGAAAATGGGAAGGAGAGGTGGGAAGGGGGAGGAGGAGCAGGCTGCAGCTCTTGTCTGAAGGCAGGGCTCGTGCCCAGCCGGGGTTATTAAAATAAAGGCTTGGGAAGCCCAAGCTGATATGATTAGCAGGACTCAAATGCCAGGCTGGTGTTAGATCTAATCTTGGGGTTTATTGACGCTGATGTGATTTGATCCCTGGGACTCTCGGACCTGCTCACTCCTGCCAGCAGTGACACGTCTATATATTTTTAATAAACTTACCCGAATGAAATCCTCACTGTTCCTGTAGCTCTGTTCGCACTGCAAGCAAGATATTAACTGAGAACTCACATTTATCTTAGTTCCTTGTCAGACCCAAACGCCGCCCGAGTTCCTTTGGGGTTATTATCATCCTTCCCGTGCAGAGTTTGAAGAGGAGGGGATGTGGGCTGCCACGGGGCGGGATGGAGGGCTGGCAGGGAGCTGGGATGGGGGAGGTTTGGGGGGGATGGCAGGGCTGGTTGGGTGGTGCAGAGAAGCGCACCCAGGGGTGCGGGTGAGAGGTGCCCCCTCGGGGCAGCATTTATTGACCCAAAACAGGGCTGAGGCAGGGCTGAGCCTCCTCTCCCAAACCCCCCATCGCCTCCAAGCTCAGGGGTCCCCCCAGCACATCTCCCCCTGCTTCTCAGAGTTTAAAAGGCTGCCCAGCGTTTTGCCCTCAGCCCATTAAAAGCACAGCTTGACATTTATTTATTTTTTTTCCTTATCTATACCTCAGTCGTATTTTCCTTCCTCTTGCTTCGGACTCCGTGCTGACACCCAGACCAACAGCTATAAACACACCAGTGGATCGCGGCCAGACCCATTTATTAAATGGTTTTGTGAAGCCATGAGAAGAGCAATATTCGTGTAACAGCCCATAAACCTGTACATTGAAGCAATTAGCCACGATCACAGTCCCTGATAAAGAAAAGCCCCACGTTGACCAATTTGCTTTCAATCAACCCACGAGCCGGTCAGGTGGGAACCATCCTGCCGTCCGCAGCAAGCCTCTCCTCCCTTCATGCCCACTCTGTGATTTCTGCACTGGCTTCTCCTGGGGCTTGGAAAGGCAGGAGGCAAATCTGGCCAGGAATGGATGATGCTGGTGAGCCACCGTTGGCTTTCCTCCGGCTTGGCTCCGTCGGTGGAGGACCCACGCAGCACCCAGCCCTGCTCACACAGGGTAGAAATCCCCCAGTGCTTGCCCCCAGTCACCAAGAGCCCTGTCTGTCCCACCAGCTGCACAGCGAGTGCACTTGCACGAGAAACCAATTTCATTTTCTGGTTTATCAGCAAACCAAGAAGTGGCTTTCTTATACTCCTTAAAAATATATTAAAAAATATATATTAAAAAAAAAATCCACATGTGGCAGTGAACCTTACTTCTTTTCTTTGTATATAAATAATCAGTTTCTCAAGATCAGACCCTCCTGGGCAGAGAAATGGAGACACTGGGGCTCTTCTGCAGCCATGCACCGCAGGGGCAGGAGCTGGCTCCTTGGGCTCGTGCGTGCTCAGCTGTGCTCTGATTTCATCCAACTCCTTGTGCATGTCAGGTGAAGCGCGTGGCTGGAAAACAAGAGGCACAGCTAACATTTAAAATGCAAATAACACCTTTACTCTCAAGGCTGGCAGGTTTTAACACTGTCTGGTGTCAAATAATTGATTCCCCGAAGTCTCAATGCCACTTCTCGAACAGAGGGGAGGGCAGGGCTGTGACCACCCAAAATCTCTGCCTAGGTGTGAATCAGCAGGGTGTCTGGGATGAGGCAGGAGGGGCCCAGGAAATCTTCTCCTGAGCCTGTTGCAGAGCTCTTTATCCCCTCGCAGGCTGGTGAGAAGGAGCCGGCTGTGCTTGGGGGGACGAGATTTGGGCACCTCCCTGGCAGCACAAACCCCGTCCTTCCCTGTGCCGTGCCGGACACAGCGAGGTGCCTCCGGGGCGACTGTGCCAGGGAAAACTGGCGAGCCGTGAGAGAGCCCTTTGGGGCCAGCCGAGTCCTGGTGAGACACTGCTGGAAGGAATCAAAGCCCGCTGACAGCTCGATCCCGCAGAGCAGCAAGCGCCGGAGCTCGGGAACATCCTTTCTCTGGGGTCCTGGGAAGCAATCAGGCGCCGCAGACTCACCAGTGGCAGCGAACCAAAAGTCTTCAGCACATTTAATGAGGAAACAAAGCGGCAGGACAAAAGGCCAGAAGGATGCGCTGCTTTCTGGAGACCACTGGACCACATTTTAACCCTCTGAATTGATTTTGAACAGTTTTCTGTCCAAGCACAGTACTCAAGGCACTCTGGGGACAGAAAAGTGCATTGTTAACTTGGGCTAGGTTTCAGGACTACAAAATGAAGAAGAGAAAAGAAAAAGCGGATCTCAGGGTCCATGAAATCCATTCCCAGAGTCCAGCTGGGGCTCCCTGCGAGGGGGCCATGCAGGGACACGCAGCAGGGCCAGCGGGGAAATTCCCAGGGAAACAAGGAAAAAGAGACGGTCTGCGAGCAGAAAATGTGAGACAGGGGAAAGGAGGTGGAGAAAGGAAGGAGAGGCAGCAGGAACTGCACCAAATGGGCACTTCTCAACTTAAACAAAGTTTGGAAGAACTATTAAAGCAGGAGATCAGTGAAGGGGGAAATTGAAATGTTAGGGGATGGAACGGAAAATTAGGCACAGATAATGGGTAATAGCACTAGAGTTTAAAGTACCCTCAAACAATTTGTTGTGAAGAGCTGTAAAACGCTCCCCTGTGAGGCTGTGCCTGCAGCCAGCCTCCCCGTGAGCAAAGTGCCCGACGCAGCGCTGTGACGGGCACGGCGCCCCAGAGCTGTGGTGCCGTGGATGCGTGCTGTAAACCCTGACACCAGGAAGGGATGGGAGAAGCTGGGATGAAGCAGCAGCAAGAGCTGAGGGGGGAGATGTCCACAGCCTGTTTCAAGTGGCAGGAGCTGCTCTGGGTGCCCAAAGCTCTCTCTGCTCGGTGCCTCTTGCAGTGCAGCTGCAGCTGGGGATGGGGACAGGGACAGGGACAGGGACAGGGACAGGGACAGGCCTGTGATCCGCACCCGCTGGCAGCAGCGGGGATTAGTGCTCTGCCGGGAAGCCGAGAGATTGGGCTGGGGATGCAAGAAGGTGCTTTGAAATTAGTCAGAGTCAAACGCCTTTTGATCTAAAGAGGATTTCGCGTGGAGTCAGAGGCAGCTGTCCCCCCTCGCGCCTGCTGCCAGGAAGGGCTGGCAGCCAGCTCTCTCCCACCAGGGCTTAATCCTGGAGGTGCGACCGCCCCGGGCAGGGGGTGTTCCAGTTCCAGCGGTCACGGCACCAACACGCAGCCATGCCTAGATGCTCAAACGCACTGCTTGAGGGCTCGGCCAGTGGTTTAAAGTGCATCGCCAGCGGGAGTGGGGGCACTGCCCCACAGGTACCCCACGGCTGTAGGGGTACCTGTAGGGGCTGTAGGGGTACCTGTGCCGAGAGCAGCACCTCAGTGCTCTCACGTAGTGCTCCAGTGCACCGTGGAGCGTGGATGTTAACACAGAAACCCTCCCACAGACTCGTTCCTGGGGAAGCAAAGCGAAAGCGTGACCATAATGCACGTAATGCAGCCAAAGCCAGGCAAGGCGCACACGAGCTGGGGGGAGCAGCCAGGTGCGGCGGTGCAGAAGCAGCGCAGGGAGCGCAGCGGGCACACTCGCTAGCACGAAGGGGCTTTTTCCACGGCCAGCAGGGCTCCAAGCACCGCTTGGTCTGCGAAGCAGGAAAATCCCTGCACGGAAAACGGCGCCGCTTTAGCAGGCAGATGTAATTCCAGCTGGGCCGTGTCGGCCAGGGCAGCAGCTCTCCGCAGCCTGAAGCATCCCCGCACCGCTCACAGGGCTCAGGACCAGCAGCCCCCAGCTGCCCCCCATCCTCGCCCAGGTGGGAGCATCAGGAGGCTGGGCCGGGCACACCTGGGTTGAGGCAGGGCTGAGGGGGCTTTGAGGGCTGAAAAAGGGCTGGGGCTGCCCTGCTCAGCCCTGCTGGGTCCTGGGGAGCTGCTTGTGCTTTGGAGCCCTGTCTGCAGCAGGTATGTGCCAGCTGGGGGGGCTTTGGCTGTGAGAGGAGGGCAGGGCACAGCACCGCCTGGCTGGGCTTTAATCCTCCAGGCCATAGATCCCTGCCCTGGGGGTGCGCAGTGCCCCCCAAGGCTTCAGCTCTCTGGGGGTCCTGAGCTGGCAGGGCCAGGCTGCCAGGCACAGCTCCTCCAACAGCACCTGCTGGGAGAACTGGGGGGAACTGGGGCTGCACTAGGGCTGGAGGGATCTCAGGACAGGGACCTGGGGGTTCCTGTCCTCCCGAATTTGTCCCCTGCTACCAGTGAGGGAGCAGTGACCATGGGGCAGAGCAGTGCTGCCGCCTCGCCTGGCAGCCAGAGCGCTTACTGGAAGGGAACTCATTGAAATGGGGCTTGTGGCTGTGGCATTTGCAGTGTGTGCGGTAACTTACGTAACCGATGGAAGGAACCAGCGCAGCAGAAATTTTTAATTATGTATTTGACTGTAATATTCTCAGTTTGAGTTCATGCAACGTTGGTTAGTTACCTCAGTTAATTAGAAATTTTACAGATGAATAAAAAGTTTAAAAACCACTGAAAAGAGCAGGGCATTTGAGATGACAATGGTCTTTCTGTCCGTTTGTTTGGGAGAACTGAGATGCTCCCCACGGAGAGGCCACGCTGCAGCTGAGCCTGGGGAGGAGGCTGTGGTGCTGTGCACGGGCTGCGTGGGTTGGGTTTCCTTGGGGATGTGCAGGCAGGTTTTGGGGCTTCTCGGGTGGCAAGGTGCTGGCTGAGCCTCATCACCCCCTGGGGACATTAAATGAAGGCTAATCCAGTGGTGATCACAGCCAGGTGAGATCTGGCTGGGCTCTGAAGGTGCAGTGCTGGAGCAGTGGTGGGTGTTGCTCTGCTTTCTGTGGCAATAACGCATCTGCCTGGAGTGCTTTGGTCCGCTGGGGAAAAGGGATTCAAGGAGGGAACCATTAAAATAATGCCTTTTGTAAAGGAGTGTAACAGCACAGGCTATTATTTACATTTGCAATAGCAGCTCTGTGCTGTGCCAGCTTATGGCAGTGCGAGAGGCGTCTCAGGACTGTGCAGGAGGAATAAAAGTGATGGATGCCCACACTTCCCGCGTGCGTGGCTCATCACATAGGGGTGGTACTGAGATGTGCAGGAGCACGGCAGGCACTGTGTCTGCTGCCAGCTCCGTCTGGGTCCGCAGCAAGCACCCTGCCACCAGCCAGGCCCTGTCTGTCCGGCAGATGTTTGCTGCTCTTTCCTCCTCCGGCTCCTTGTAGCTGTTCCCTGGCCCATGTGGGACATCATTTGTCTCAGAGTGAACCTGCAGAGGATCCCTGCCCAAACAAACTCTTGTTGTTTGTTTGCTATATTAAATGGACAACAAAAAACCTGAACACTTCAACCCTGCGTGATTTTCAGATCTGGTGCTACTGATTTACAGAGATTACAAAGGTTTAAAATGGCTGGAGGTTCATGCGTATTCTGAAGTCTCCTCAGAAGCTTACAGCCTTGCAAACTGAATTAGTGTTTCTTAAGGTGTTCGAAATCAGTTTTATTTGTCATTTGACAAGTTACCATTATGCACAGTCTCTATCTGACTTCATGATTTATGGGAAAGACCCTCAAATCTATATTTAAAATTACAGTTGAGGAGAATTGTTTTTGCCTCTTCTGTTGAGGTAGAACCACTATTAGCAGTTGTTGCTGGAGACCTCAAGGACTTCATTATTTTAGGAAAACTTTTTTTCCCTGTTTAATCTTCCTAGGATCCTGATGCTATATTTCCTTGTAAACTTTAAAGATTAAAAAAAAAAAATCTGCTAGTTGTGCTCTTTGGTTTCCTCCTCTGTTTGAAGTCTCGGGCCTGTGGCTGCATCATTTGGTTCAGGACTCCCCCGAAATCACGGGGAAGATGTGTGCAGGCAGAGTTGTACCATGCTGTTTGGGGGGAGCCACCACACCTGATGCGGAGGAGCTCATCCACGCTTGGACTGCTTCTTGCTCAGGTTACTGTAACGCTCTTTCAGAGGGTTACTGGAAAAGCTGAAATTCCCCTGGATAGGCTCATAACTCACTCTAAAAAGCCTAAGTGTGTTTCAGCAGCCTCATTATCCAGGTTTGCTGGTAAAAGCTGTCTTGCTGCTGCGCTTGGAGGCATTGCAGGGACTGGGAGCTTGGCGAGGCAGCTGCTCTCATCACCAGGGCAGTGGTGCTGTCTTGGTCCCTTGGGATCTTCCCGAGGGAAGGCAGCAGAGCCCAGGGTGCATACAGGCTCTCTGCCCATGCCCACCCTCCCTCCACACCCCTTTCTCAGATCCCCAAGGTCTCTGCAGGGCTGGGAGCTTCAATGCTGTGTGCCTGTGGATGCCCCGGTCCCCTCGCTCAGCACCAGGCAGGATGCTTGGGTGCAGGTTGAGGGGAGCAGGAGCTGGGCAGAAGTGCCTGGTGCTCCCTGCGTGAGCAAAAACCCATTTGTAACAGGCTGTGCTTCACCACGGGTGTTGTGGGGCTGCTTTGCGGAGATAACAGGTTTATTTAGCGTTGCATTGTAAATAAAAACAAAATTGAAGGGAGGCCAGATAAGGGACTTTAACCATTTAAGATCAGCTGATTGCCTAAGTGGCAGGGGCTCCTTTCATACATAATAACGTACATTATTAAAGCGTTAGAAACACTCGTGCCCTGTGACATCTCCTCCTGTCAGCCCCCATCCTGCCCCTGGGAGAGGGGCCGGGGGGAGATGCAATGTGCTGGGGGGGGGGGGGGTTAAAGCAGCCACCTCTGGCTGCAGGGAGCTGGTAAGGGCTGTGCTGAGGGGTTCTGCTGAGATTCGGGAGCTTGGAGACTGTTAGAAAATAGCTGCAATAGATTGTCAACAGCCTCTGATAAGGCGAAGGGAGAGAAGGCAGCGCTGGGGGATGAGCACAGTGCAGTGAGGTTTCTGCCTCCAGGCAGTACTTAAGCAGCCATCTATTATACATACTGCCGAAATTAAATTCCTCCAGCCTGGGGTGGGATCCTGCTGGTGCAGAGCAGGGAGCTGAGGCAGGAGGAGATGCTCTGGGGTGTCCTGAAGGTGTGCGGTGCCCCTGCTCTGCCCGTCTGGTGGCCAGGCCTTGCAGAGGTGGCCCTTCAGGTGAAGGGTAATGCGGGTGAAATGGGGTTTCTATTTAGGAAATGAGAGAGATTGCTGCAGGCTGCTCGTGTCTGCAGTTCCTTCTGGCAGGTTCGAGGTTCTCAGAAAGCACGTTACTGCTGCCATGCTGCTCTACCTTCATAACAAAAGAGCTGATAGCAATCATGCATATATACCACGCATATTGTTTCTAGCCTGGAATATTAATTTTTATTGAATTCTATCACACTTTCTTACATCTTTCTAGTTTAACTTCTTTCTCTTCCTACTGAGACATTATTCTTAAACTTTGATTCGAATGTTGATAGCGTCTCAGTGTAGGTGCCTTCAGACACTTGTGTCTCCCACGAGGATGCCTCCAGAATTTTTACTTGGCACTGCGTAAGGGTTGCAAAGGTGAGAACCCCTGAAGCTGAGTTTAACAACGTGGCAATAGTAATTTATTTTAGGAGAGCCAACCTATACAGTAGGATTTGTGGAGATATACGTTCCTTTATGGACAGCACAGTAAATTTCTCTCCAATAGAGCCTTAAATATTCGCTTGCAATATTTACATAAGCTTTGTAACAGCTGCAAAAGAGTCATTAAGGACTACTTATGGAGATAATCCAGATTTTAAAATTCCTTTAATGTGCGTTTCCAGAGAGATTACAGCCACATCTATCTGGTCAATAAAATGCATATGCTCCTCTGTAGGGTTTGAAGGCACTCGGAAATAACGAGGCAAAATGTATCCGGATTAGGCTGTGTTTGTTTCTGGCTTCTGTTGGCTTAGTTTGCAGCCTAATGCCATTTCAAAGTAATATCATGTGTGCTAATTAGCTGCTAAGCCTGGGAAATCAAATGCACGACTGATAAAATCAATCAATGCCCCCGAGGAAAGGTTTTCCCCTTCCAGTTTGGTTTGTTGGAGTTATTTACGCCAGCAAAGAAATGAAATAGGGTTTCCTATCTCCCTTAAATATCTCGGCTTCTAAGTTACTGCGCTTGTACGATGCGAAGCAGGGCTCCCATAGCAGCGATTTATCGATCATTAGGGTGCTGCCGGGGCCGTTTTGTTATTGGAGGTTAGTGGGTTTCTTTATTTGGTTCCCAGTTTTATGATCATTTTTAGCATCCCCTGGCCAGACCCGGCTCCGTGTGCGTCCTGCAGCACGCAGTCCTGCCAAGCACCATGCTCAGTGCCTTTACCCAGCCGTAGCGGCTGCTGTTTGCTGCTTCTCGTCTTAGCATAAAGTTTTACCTCCCTTCAGGGCCTCGCTCGTGCTGTGGTCCCCCGGCCAGAAAGGCTTTCTTCACGGCTACTCCTCGAAGAACGGTGTTCGTGTTGAAGAGGAGATAAAGGCGGCCGGGTTGCCAAATGCTTTCTCAGAAATCTGGCAATAACGCGGTGTTCAACAGAAGTTAAACCAAATATAAAGGTTTGAAGATCCAGATTCCTTCCCTGCTTGTAATATTTCTGTTCACCCTGTGCAGAAAGACACTAATTTGAGCTGGCAGTAATTCATGTTCACTTTTCAGGACAACAAGGCATCAGAGAATAGTCTGGAGCGAGGCTCAGCTAAAGAATAGCTGACAGGCATGGGGAAGAGGGATGCGAATGTAACCGCTCGTGATGGATCGGAATGAAAAAAAAAAAAAAAAAGGAGGAATTAGGCTGCCAGGCTCTGCCTAACCACGCTGCAAGGCTTGGAAGTGTCTTCAAAAATGTTCTCGTGAGGCTTTGCTCTCTGTGGCTGTGGGAGGAGCGCCCTGTGCTGGCTGTGCCCTGTGGGGAGGAGGGGGAGATGCCTTTCGGTGGGTGTGTGAGCGCTGTTGGGAGGGATGCGGAGCAGCTGCTGGGTCTGTCTGGCATGGCCGAGGGCAAAA